GGTAATACGAGTGTAATGGTGACTAAAGGGTGTTTTTTCATGTCCTCTATGCTCTAACTACAAAAATATTTGATTTACAAATAAGGAATCCTACTTCGCGGAATTTCATTTATCACGGTAGGGTCTAGAACAGATTAACTGCGATAAACGAGGGTTCACTGTATTTCTCTTTTCTATGTGTTCCTTGTGATTTTGTTGTTGTTATTCGGACATTTGAATATTTGAGGATGTTAACTTTCTTTCTTCTTATTTTTTTGGTTTAACTTTCTAGTTCTCCTCAATATTATGTGTTTCATCCACATGGCTTCCTCCAAAAAACTTAAGACACACAGTCTTGGTTCCCCCTCTCTTTGATAGCTCCTTCTCCACCCCTTCTAATTTTTTTTAAAGATCATTTTATTAGGGACTCTTACAACTCTTGTTACAATCCATACATCAATTGTATCCGACATATTAGTATATATATTGCCATCGTTCTTTTCTAGACATTTACTTTCCATTGAGCCTTTGGGATCAGCTCCTCTTTTTGTCCCCCCCCCCCACCAACTCCCCCTCAACCCTCGGGGCCCCTTGGTAGATTGTAGAGTGTTAATTATTTTCAACTCTCACAATGACCACTGTCTCCCTTCCCCTCTGGTTTCTGTTGTTCTTCCCCCTGAATGGGGGTGTGTGGTTATGTGCCATTCATTGCGATCTGTACCCTCTTCCTCCCGACCTGTCTTCCCCTTCCCCCTACCCTTTTATTATAGCTATTCCCATTCCTGTTCCTGAGTTCCGTGTGTCATGAGCTTTATCTCTTGCTTATACCTATGTACAGAGGTGGGAAGCAACACTGGGGTCATGATAGTGGGGGGTGAGGAGGCCTGAAGGGATCAGAGGTATATTGTGTGATCCATCAGTGCTCTACTGCACCTTGATTTACTCAACCCCTCCCTGTGACCCCTCTGTCAGGGGATGTTCCATTGTCCACAGATGGGCTTTGGGTCTCTGCTCCAATGCCCCTCATTCTCACCATCGTGTTTTTGTTTGTTTGTTTGTTGTTGTTATGAATCTTATGATGCCTGTTGCCCAGTCTCAATGCCATCTCATGATTCCACTGGCTGGTGTGCTTCTTCCATGTGGGCTTGTTGCTTCACTGTTGGATGGCCGCTTGTTTAACTTCAAGCTTTTAAGACCCCAGATGCTATATCTTTTAATAGCTGGGCACCATCCTCTGTCTTTACCACATCTGCTTATGCATCCATTTTGTCTCCAGCGATCGTGTCATGGGGGTGGAGGGTGGGGTGGTGAGCAACACAAAATGCCATTTTGTTAGAACAAAGTGAGGTATGAGCTGAGGTCCAAGGACTGTCTGCAGACTCCGTGTATTGCCTGTATGTACATAAGCCTAGAGCTTACCTGTTTCCTTTTGCCTCCTCCTGCCCTGCCGTCACTTTCCCCCTTCTTCCACCTCTGAGTGCTTCCTCTCAGCTAGATTGGCGTTGTTGTAATACTCACAGGATCTCTATGCCCTCCTAGATGTTGTTTTCGATTCCCTAGTTGTTCCCCTGCCCATGGTGCCATCCACTCACCACACCTTTCTCCCCACCTCCTTCTTCCCCCAAGACCCTTTGGGGTCATTGACCCATTGCTTTCTCCCTGAGGTTCCCTCCCATGTCTGTCCCATAAAAGTAGGCAAACCAGTAATGTCCTCGTCCAAACAATAGGAAGCCATAAGGTTGAAAGAAGAAAAGGAGCGGGGGTGGTGGGGGGTGGGGGGGACCCTCATACATAGATCCAGGTCTTTCCACTGGCCCCCATGAATCCCTTCCCACTGGTCCTGGGGGAGATCTGGGGGCTGCCCCTCTAGCCCAAAGTCCATTCTTGGTTGGGGCTCCTCAAGACTCTGTGGATCAGCTTTACTCCAATTACTGATCTATTATGCTTCATTCCTGGTTTGTCCCACTGTGAGGGATTCAGTCCACACTGTCTCCCTGCCATGTGTCCCCATTATTGTCCTCTGTCGCTGTACGCTCCAATTAGGAGACAGTGTGTCTTGAGTTGTTGGCAGTCCCACAGTCCTCTCTGTGCCTTGGCAGCTCCATGCAGGGAGCTCATCCTCTGAGCTTGGTGTGCCTATATGGAGTCTAGGCCGACTGTCCGTTTCTCCTTTTCCTTCTTGGTTTGCTTCCATGTGGGCATGGTAAGTTGGTTCCTCCCCCCCCCCACCACCTGAAGGTCTACTGTTGCTCTGGGACACACACTTCTAGGGTGGGGTCAGACTGGCTCTGCTTGGGGCTGGCCCTGTAGCCCAATCTTTTCATGCATTGCTCCACATGGTTACGTTGCCCTCAAGGTTGGGTGCACCATGGTGGGGTCTGTATGCACACTCCAATTCTGTGGAGACACAACCAATACTCTCCCCCTGGGTGGGTTAGTGTCCTGTTCCTCCCATATCATCATCTCAGTTTCTCCCTCCTTCTTCCCGCCTTTCCCCTTCTTTAGTTGGATTCACTTGGACCTCCTTGGGTTTGGTCTGAACTCCACCCAACTGCCTGTGCCTCCACCGTATATTGTGAGGTAAGTGGTTTTTCTTCTCTTCCTACTGTGCTGATTATACTTACCTCAGGGGACTCATCTTTTACTTGTCCTTTTGTGATTGACTGACCTCGCCTAGCAGAATTTCTTCCAACTCTTCCCATGGTACTCCATTGTGTGTATATGCCAGAGTTTACTAATCCACTCGTCTATCTATGGAAACTTAGGTGGTTTCCAACTCTGCAATTATGAATTGCGCTGCAATAAACATTGGGGCGCAGATTACTAATCATGTTTTATTCCTTGCCTCTTCTGGGTATATGCCCAGTAGAGGGTTAGCTGGGTCGTAAGGTAGATCAATTTTCATTTTCTTTAAATATTGCCACATCACTTTCCCCAGTGACTATACATATATCTACACGACCACCAGCAGTGAAGGAGAGTTCTTATTTCACCACAGCCCCTCCAACATTTGTTGCTCTCCGATTTTCTCATTTGGGCTATCCTCAAGGGTGTTAGATGGTATTTCATGGTTGTTTAAATTTGCATTTCTCTTATGTTACTTTCTAATTTTGCCTGAGCTTCTTTTTCTGATCCATGGAGGGTGCCTATAGCTACACTGGCATTCAGGTAAAGCGTGGGCAAACTTTCCTCCAGAAGGACTGGTACTCCCCAGAAGTACCTCTGAGAATTTTGTCTTGTTGGTCTCAGAATTCCAGGGCCCCTGTGGTGGTTGGAGGAACACTTTCTTTATTTTTAAGTGACCCACCTCTTGACTCACTGTGTGGAATTTCTTCAGTCAACAGTTATAAGGTAGGGGAGGGACCATGACACTCAGAATGGACCCCCAAGGGAAGTTTGCCTTGTGTTGAGTATGGGTGTAGCCTCCACTGAAGATGCCTGCTTCCTAGCAGAGTGTAGAATCAGTCATCAGTCTAACATTGCCTGAGAGCGCAAGTAGAGATCCCCAAACTGACACCAGTGAAGTCTGTCCTGTTGTTTTGAAGGGCCTTAAATCTGAGATGTGCAATGGGCAGAAAGAAGGGCACCTATTGTGTCAATTCAGCCACCCATCAGCCACTCATGACCAGGGGAGGAGCTGTCAGATATTGTACCACTAGGGAAGAATGCCATGTGGCTCACAGAATACTTTTGGTAGATTGTTTGAGCCCATTGTTACAGCCACTGAATCAATCCATCTCCTTTGTTTCTGACCTTCTACTTTATCAAATATGACATTCTTATTCGGGGACTGCTCTCTCCTGATAACAAGTCCAAAGGATTTGAGACTCTTGCACTTCTTCCAGGACCGGTTTGTTTGATTTTTTTGGCAGTCCACAGTACTTTCAATATTCTTTTATTCTTCTCCAGTACCATAAGCCAAATGTATCTGCTCTATGATCTTCCTTATTTGTCGTCCAACTTTCACATGTTTGAGGCAAATGAAAATAGCATGGCTCGGGTCAGGTGCACCTGAATCCTCAAAGTGACATCCTGTTCTTCAACATTTTAAACAGGTTTGTGCAGCAGATTTGCCCCATGAGCTAAGTGATTTGATTTCTTGACTGTTCCTTCTGTTTGTATTGGTCGTGGATACAGGAAGATGAAATCCTCGACAATTCAATCCCTTGTCCATTTACCATGTTTTCTATTCATGTAGATTTCCCCCTTTACATTGTGTTGTAATCCATACTGAGGGCTGCAGCCCTTGATCTTCATCAATAAACACTTCGTGTCCTTTTCACTTTCAGCAAGCAAGGTTGTACCATCCGCGTAGGGCAGGTTGCTAAAACACCTTCCTCCAATCCTGCTGCCATATTCTTCTTCCTTCTCATGGCCCATATTTAGATTTTTATGTATGATGACCTTTATTTACAACTTTTTTTGGCACAAAGGAAGAGGAACAAATTCAATAGTTTAACACAAGATATCAGAGCCAATCCTATTAAATCAAAGAAGGTCCATCTAGAAAGTTCATCTAATTGTCCAAAGATGACACAACACTGACTCTTCATAACAATTCCCCCCCTTGCCTTTTTTTTCCTCCAAAGGCTTTATTTTATTGGTCAGTGTGCTTTGGAAGGAGACAGGACATCAATCCTACTGCTTCCAATCTCTGAAGAGTTGTACACAGGACAGGCACAGTGCCAACGGGCCCACGGGGACAGGACTGCTTTGTCTGCCTCTGACTCGTAGATCCAGTCATAGCCACAAGACTTGTTGTCCACCAGTTCCTCCGCTTAAACCAGAGGCTGATGTCTTTCTCCGCGCTTTTGTCCGAGTCACTGCCATGAATGAGCTTGAACACAAGTCCCCTCGGATGGTTCCGGGCTGAGAATCTGCCACAGGTTGGTCTCCCCCAGCATCACCCGGCCCATCTTCACCACATTCATCCCTCCCTGACCATGGCCACATTGGTCCCGAGTTCATGTCCTTCACCAGCCCTGGGAAGAAGGGGTGGTCCTTCAGGTCAATGGAGTGCTGCTTCAGGTGTTCCTCAGAGGCCTTAACTAACTTCATGGCCACCAGGCAGAATCCCTTCTGCTCAACGTGCTTGATGATGTCGTCCACCACGCCGCACTGCATGCCGTCCGGCTTGACGGAGATGAAGGTGAGCTCATTGTTGGCCATGGTGCCAGTCAGGTGGCAGGGGAGCGGGCGGCTGGATCCATGGAGCTGACGCAGAGGGCAATTCCCTTTATGAAGTACAGTGTTCATATTTTAGGCAGTCTCTTTAATATATAAATATAAAAAAATTAAATCACTCGACTACAGCATTAAATGAAAGATGTTTCATATTTAGATTTATCTTATTCCTGGTAATGACACTTGCCCAATTAAAAACCAAAAGTTGGAAAAGCAGATACACTTCCTACTTGAGTGGACTGTTACAACAATCGATAATTTTCTGAGATGACCATTATATTTCAATTTATCATGAACTACTCTGAACTTACTATGAGATGTAGTCAAAGTCAGGAGAGAAGATGTGGGGAGAGCATTCTTTTTTTTGGAGAGGGTTAGCCCCTCCACAATCAGCATGGTAAAGAAACATACTCTGTGGAAGAATTATAGGTAGAAAAATTATTGTGGTCAATTTCATCCAAATCTTCCCCAGCGAAAAGATTTTCATCAATAGGAACAACATCAATGGCTCCATTTTCCTGTGCCTCCCTGTGTTCGTCTGGCTGGACTAGAGAAACAAATTCATAGACATTCATGTGTATAAGAAAGAGCTTTATATACAAGAGCAATTGCATATTGAGAAAACATCTGAGCCCAGTCCAGATCAAGTCTATAAGTCCGATATTATCCCATATGCCCGATACTAGTCTATAAATTCCTCTCTAGACTCACACAGTACATGGAATGATGCTTAATTCAGGAAGATCACAGGCCAGTGGGTAGAAGGTCTTGTGGATCCAGTGGCAGTGGAAGCATCTCAACTCATGCATGGGTTTCCACGTGTCTTGTTCAGCTCTTTGAGTGTCTCAGAAGCAGGAAAGGGAAGGCAAAGAGATACTGGGTCTGGCCCCCAGTTAGCTATTTATCTCCATCATGCTTCCAAATGAGGCCATCAAGCTGCGATCTGATTGACAGACTAGACTCCACCCCTTCGCTCAAGTTGACAGGAGATTATGGAACTGCCACATTCCCCTTCATTATCCTTTTCCAAATAGCTTCTTTCCCCATTTTCTGCCCGACGTCCAGAAGCTTCTTCATTTGTTTGCATGCTTTTCTGAAGTGCTGGATTTTTCAAGGCTGGCTACCATAATACCTGTCTCATCTACATCTCTTGGAATGCTTAAATCTGTCATCAACCTCATAACTGCCTGCTCCCTGGATGTAACAGGTATCATCTACTTCATCGTCATCAACCAGTTTAGGATGAAATTCGAACACCCAGCGACCACTAATCACGAGTGCTTTCCCTGCTTTGAAGTCTGCTTTTCTTCTTTCCAGATCTTGCTCAAGTTTATCAATCTTTTCTTGTCTTTTCCTTTTTTCATGCAAGGAAAGATTCTAGAGTGATTTTGGTAACATTTGGACCAGAAAGCAGAATACTTTCTTTCAATGAGGTTGTCTTCATTTTTCTTCTTCTTTCTTTCAATGAGATCTTCTAATGAAATTCCATCTTCTTTCTTTTTGTCTTTTTTCAACACAAACCCAGGGGGAGGTGCATGAGGATGCACACGCATACAACCCCTCCAGCGCATACCCCAAACCAGCCGTACTTGCTTTCAGTAGCTTCAAGGAAATGCTTGCCCACTATTTGAACTTGTGGTGTTTTCCTTTCTGCCTTCCTGCTTCCTGTTCACTACTTCTTCCAGATTTTTCTCATCCCAATTACCCAGGGTATCTATTTCAAGTTCTGCATCTCTTGCACCAATGTAAACACTTCACTTTTCACATTTTCGCTCCAGAGTCAAGCCATGGCAGAATTTACACGTCTCTCCTTTAGGGCACTGCCCTTGCTTGAAGATTGGCCACACCACGGATTTGGGATCTGTGCCTTGACTTATTTGTCGAGTAGCAGCAACAGGTTTGAACAGTTCATTTAGCCCCTGTAATTCTTTCTTCTTGTCATTTTTCTTCTATTTCTTTTCGGCTTCGCTTTGTGCTACCTGGTGTGGATTTGTTTTAAACCAAATTTAACTTTATAATTAACAGCCTTGATAAACTTCCATTGCTTTGCTCCTTTCTTATTCTTTAGACCAAAAGTTTTGTCTTCGATGATCTTCTCTTTCTTCTTCTGCTCTGCCTTATTGTTGCCCCTGGTTTGAGCCTGTTTCTTGGGGCATTGCAGAGACAGGTGGCACCCACCAGACTTAAGCACCTTCAGGGGCTCTGGCCCCGCAGCAGCAGGAGGAGGAGACCTGGGCCTCTGTCACCACCTCACTGTACAGAAGACCAATGCCATGTTCTTTTTCTTTCTTTCTTTTCTTCTTACCCCATCCGACATCTCCCTCACTCACTTCTCCGCTGTCCGTCCCCCAGGGAGGAGGCCAGATGCAGACCTTGTCATCTGTTCCCCCTTTCTCCCTCACCTTCCCTTCACCCTCCCGCGATCGCCACTCTCTCCACTGGTCCTGGCGGGTTCATCTGTCCTGGGTTCACTGTATTTCCAGTTCCTTTCTGTGCCAGTGTACATCCTCCAGTTCAGCTGGATATGTAAGGAAAATTGGGATCATGGTAGTGGGGAGGCGGGGGAGAAGCATTTAAGAACTAGAGGAAA